CACTTGCTGGGGGGAACCAACAGGCAGGGCCGTGGGGTGGGGGTGGGAACCGGGCTTGACCAATTTGAGATCTTTATCTTCTGAGCTCAAAGGGTCCTCCCAACAGCCAGTCTGGGAAAACCACACCCAGGGCACAGGATAACCAGCCAGCTGCAGGGGTGAGCTGCACAGAAGAGAACCCAGCTGTCAGCAGCCCTTGGAACCCTGGCTGAAGGTGCCAGGACAGGTGTGCCCTGGAAGGCGGGCCCATCACAGGTCCTCCCAATCACTTGTAGACCTGACAACAGGGCCAGCCGGGACAGAGTCCTGCGAGTTTCATCACTTTAATAGGCACTCAGGACGCTTCCTGAATGCCAGTGTACCCGGCACTGGAATACAAGGACACAAGCCCTCAGTGGGCTGCCGGCTGTGGGGACGGGTGTATGGACCAGGCCCACCCAGCAGCAGGTGTGGAGGGGAAGGCACAGGGTTTCCTGGAGCCTCCGCCGCGTTCTGGAGGGAGAGGGCCTCAGTAGCTCCTCAACGGGCAGACAGGTGGGTGCCGTTCGTAGCTCAGTCCGGCCTCACAGGCTCCAAGAAGCCAAAGGGCCTGGGCTGTAGTGAGCTGCTGAGGAAGGAGTGTGCCACTATGCACTCGGAAGTGGGGAGGAACAGCCCAGGAGGGCAGGGAAAAATGCCAGAGGCAGGGTGAGTTAACACACACTCCTGGACCCTTTCCAGGCCCACACGTTTACAAGACACAAAGGCTGGAGCGACGTAGCCAGAAAAGGAGCTACAGAGAATTAGGGAACAGTGGCAAAATGATTCAAGGAAAGGCCAAGGGAGCTTTTGGTAGGATGCATGTAACAAGCTACATTCAGAACACTGCACAGAAGAGAGGCTCTTGTGGGTGACAGAACTACCCATCCCAGTGACACTCAGTGTGTGTGGTACCCAGTTAAAGCTGTGTAACAATTAGGCAGAGTTTCAGATTATGGGAAACAGGCCAAGCCACATGCAGTGTGTTCTCAACTACCCACCCATGTAAGGAGCAGGCACACCTGGGTGGGATGGTGGGAGAAACCGTGACTGCTCATGCACGACCCTGCCCTCAGGTCCTTGTGCAATAAGGCTAGGGGAGGCCAATAAGGCCCACGGCCAGGCGGGGGACGTAACTGCACAGGACAGAGCGAGATCTTGTCTCATGGGCTCCTAAGTGAACACGTTCCATCAAACGAAGATAGCGGCTAGCAGCCAGCTGTGTGCTTATCCAGAGGCAGGGCAGCCCCGTGGGGCCATGTGCTGCCTGTGGGCAGATAGGGGCTCCTTTTGCATCATCAGCCTCTCCTCACCCTCTCTCTGAGGCTCCTCTGCATGGCAGAATGACTGGGGTGGGGGTGCCCTACATTTGGGGACTATATCCTCAATAGTCTTTGCAAAGTTCCACCTGCTGCTAATGCCTATGTACCACACAGAAATGGGGGTCCTGGGAGAACAGCGAGAGGGCCCTCAGAGTTCTGCGACCTTGGGTCTCTATATGGGTCTGAGAAGGCCTTTTTTCAGAGATTTAATTGTGTGAGCACTCAGACCAACCCTCAGTCTGCAGAGAAATGGGGTCCTTTGAGATGAGAGACCATCTGGAAGTTTCCTAAAAGGCAAACAAATGCACAAGACAGGAAAGCGCCCAGAACCAAGTATGAGTGTGCATCTTCAGTGTCTTAACATTTTGCCATTTACTCTAACAGATGAGCTGGGCCTCTGTGACCGAAATGAAAGACCCACTATCTTGCCCCTGGGCTCCCAAGAGGCAAGGGCTATTAATCAGACTCCTGTTACCTTATCTACTGTTTTATGGATAGAAAACGCTAGGCACCTCTCGGGTTCAGTCTTCTCACTCCGTTCACTCTCCTGGGAAGGCCCACCCCACACCCCGGCTTCAGCACCACACAGGAAGGTATCCCCAAATTCTCACAAGCCCAGTCCACTCTCCTTGGCTCTGGACAGTACATATCTACCTGCCCCAGGAAGTCTTACCAACTCTCATCTCAGCATTATCAAACCAAGTCACTGACAGCCCCCAAGCCTGCCCCCTCAGCACACCCCATGAGATATGCCGCTGCCAGCAGCCAGTCACACACTCTGGGAGTGCTCCCGCAGCCCTCCTCATTCCTGGTCCTCCCCACCCCTGCAGCCACTTGTCTCATGGTCTTACTTTCCTTTCTGCCCCCATTCTCCCTGCCACCCTTCACCAGTGCTGGGCCTTACATCACAATAGGCGGGCCATGGTGGTCCCTTAACCAACTTGACTCAGTGCAGACCTTCACCAAGCCATCCTAGCCACCACTGTCTGGTCACCCACAGGGAACACAGTGCCATCATCACTCACAAAAACATCCTTTGGTGGCTTCCCATGGCTCTCAGGGTTCGGGCGTGGTACGCAAGGCCTCTCCCAATCTGCTGCCAGCCTCACTCCTTAGCTTTACCTCCCTCGTGTCACCACAACCAGCAGAGCCACTGCTGCCCTGCTCTCAAAAGCCAGTGGGCAGTGGTGCACTCGTCCCTTCACATGGAAGGCTCTCCCTCACATGGTCTCGCCAGCTCTATTTGTTCCTCAAAATTTAGCTCAAGCTCTTCTCAGGGGTCCCCACTGCAGGCCAGCTGAACACCGCTCCCCTGTGCCCGTGGTGCACTCTGTCCACTGCTGGGGGAGCACCTGCCACAGTGCCACAGTTCCCTGGCCTGTCCCCTCACTGCACTGTAAGCACCTCATGCAAAGTATGCTTCCAATAACCTTGGTTCAAGAGAATGGCAGAATCACCAGGTAACACATTTGTTGATTCTTAGTAAAAAGTCTGAGGTTTTTTCTTTGATATTATCTCTATTTGGAAAGTGACACTTGCAACAGCCATTGAACTGCTGCTTCCAGTTGCAAAGGGCTTTTGTCTCCCACAGGCAGAGTTGTCATAACAGAGAAGGTATGCTCAGACGGGGAAAACATTCAACAGGGTAAATGTCAAGTGCCTTTTTATAACTGGCCTCATGGTCCTTACGTCCTTTAAACCAGAAACCATCTAAAAGCAAACGCTTAAATACATCTTCTGAGGCTGGCTCAGACTGTAATGAGCAACACTGTGTGCCCAAGGTCACTTGGCCCGCTGGACAGTCCTGGCAGGTGTGGTCAGCGAGAGCTGGGGAGGCCCACCTGTGGGGAACTTGCAGATTCAGAGGGTGAATTTTATTATTGTTATGAAAAACCTTTCTAGATTCCTAGATCACTTATACATTCCCCAAAGGTCACCCCTTAACCCAGATGAAGCCACGGTACTAGTTTCAGCACCTTGGCTCATTTCAACAGTCACTCTGACAGCACCCCGCCCTCCCGTGCTAGGTAGCAGGGCTGCAGGGGTGGACACAGCACAGCTCCAGACCCTCCACAGGGACAGACAAGCTTCTGAATGCAGCAAGCACTGCCTGATAAACACTGCACGTAAAGGCTTTATCTGAGGGCTGAGAAGATTAGATGAGGGCCAACCTTCAAAACAGAAGGAAGCAGTGTGGGGGGTCATAACACTGGCTCGGAAGGATAACTGTAAGACCTTTGTGAGATTTCTTGACCTTTTTTACCCGGGTTTGTTTCTTCCGGCCTGTATCTGTTTAAATGAAAGGAACCTGAGACTTGCCTTCCAGGCAATTCAGCACACATTTACAGGTGCCTACCAAGTGCTGGGGAAGGGAAGTGAATTGGGGGCCTGGCCTTCATGGGGGGGAACAGCTACATCTGACAAATCATAGGATGTTTCTTTTCCTGATTGCATGTTAGTCGCTACTGACACCAGGAAGAGCAAGCACGCAGTGAGTAAGGAACCAGCTTGGGGTACGCTTCCATCTTCCCTGGAGAGGCAGAGAGACTCCTGTCCAGGGATAAGCAGCCGAGGAAAGACCGCAAGCCCAGCATCACAACCAAGCCAGGACGCCCACCAGGCCTGTGCTTCCAGGGCACAGCGCTAACCTCCCATCAATCTGTGCCTTGACACAGCCCAGGTGTCCTTAGACAACCATTGGTCTTTAATGACAGCCCAGCAAGTGGTAATCCAGGAGGCCCATGGCACATCTGTTTCTGTACTGAGTGAGGTCACTGATGAAAACCTGTGGCCAGGCCAGCAGCACCCCTGCCCGGACAGCACAGGGCCAGGGGTCCTTTTGTAAGTCCTGTCTCGCGGCTCGGCCTGGAAGGCAGCTGGAAGACCTGGCTCCGCGGCCACACCAAGGGGCCCCGCCGGTCAGGGCTCCGCCCGGAGAGGTAATCTGCTCGGGGGTGGGCTGTCATCCTGGGGCAAGGGGAGGGCCCGGAGTGAAGCAGTTGCAGGTCTTTGACAGCTAAACGTTAGCAGACCATCTTTTGCAATTTCGGGTCCAGAAGAGGATTTCCTACCCCACAGAGACGGAAAGTGCCCGCAGGAGGCAGTGACACAGGGACGGCTCTTTCCGACCGACGCCTCGCCCTGGGCCGGCCGGCGCGGACAGCGGCTGGCCGGGGGCGCTGGCCCTGCCCTGGGGTGGGCGTCCGCTGGGGCCGAGGTCGGCTCCCGCCCTGCGTCGGGTCGCGCCCCCCGCGCTCTGTGCGGGGCAGCGTCGGGGGCGGGCAGTGCCAGGGGGACGGGGGAATAGGGTGCGCGGCTCCGGACCCCCGACCCACGCCGCGACCGCTTCGCGCCCCGCCTCGGACGGAGGCCCCACAGCTGGCCCACGCGCCCTCCCTCAGCACACCCCGCCGCGGTGACAGCGGCGACCCGGCGCGCCCGCCCGCCGGCCGCGCACCCACCTCCGCTCGCCGCGCGGCTTCTCCTCAGCTGGCCGCACCGTCCCGCGCAGGCCTTTCTGCGCACGCGCGCACGCGGCCCCGCCCCCGCCGAGCACGCGCCTCCCGCTGCCCACCCCGGGCTCCCGCGGGTCTCCGCCGCAGCAGACTCTGGGCATGCGCACTGACTTCCCGCGGCGGGGTGCCGGGAGCATGCGCCGGCCTTGGGCACGTTCCGGCGCGGAGGGGCTGGGGATCCAGCACTGTCCCCGCGTGCCAGCCGAGAGGGCGGGGTCTGCAGGGCCCCACCAAGGGCAGGGTCAGGGGCTTCTGGAGCAGAGAGTGCTGTCAGCTGGGGTCGCCGCCCCGCCAGATCTGGCGTGGACCTGGGAATGCGCGAACGCGTGGTCACGACGGCCGGTCCCGAGCGCGCGGAGAAGGGGAGCAGGGTGTCCTCGGGGCGGAACCTTAGCGGAGAAGCCCAGAGGCCAAGGCCAAGAGAGACAGACGGACGGAGACAAGAGACAGAGACACAGCAGGCCAAGAACGAGGCAGGACACAAGCAGAGGCACAGCGGGGACAAGGGCACAGAAGTCCAAACAGCAGACAGGGCAGGCAGAGGTGACAGGCCGGACAGCCGGGAACCAGAGGCCGCTGTCCTCGTTGGGGGAGGAGTCACAGCGTCCTCTGTGGGTCCAGGCCGGGGGCGGGGGAGCCAGGGTCACGGAGCCCCATGGGAGTCCACAGGCGTCTGTGGTGACCACATGCCTCTGGGGGAGTCAGAGAGCTCTCTGGCGGATCAGTCAGTGGGGGCTGGAGTCACAGCGGCCCTTTGGATGTTCTCAGACCCTTGGTGTGTCCTGGCATCACAAGGAGGCTCATAACTGTTGGAGGGGTTACAGTGTCTTTTAAGAAGGTGAGAATGCTCTCTGAGGGACCAAGAGCCTCGACGTGTTGGGCCCCATAAAGAGTTTCACAGCCTTTTGGGGGTATAACGGCGCCCCCTGAAGGGGGCAGACAGCGCTTGGGTAGGGGGACCGAGGAGCTCTTTAGGATGACAGCTGCCCAGGGAAGCCTCGAAGCAGCTCTTTGGGGCTGTCACATCCCTCTATCGGGCTCCGTCCATCACACCCATCCTGGGTACGGGCACGAGGCACTGAGGGAGGTGCCCGGCAGGGGCGGGGCGGGGGCTTAAATGGCTACGCGCTGGACGCGAGCAAAGAAGCCCCAGCAGGCAGGTGATCTGGATGCACGTGCGCCTTGATGTGGCAGCAGCGGCCCGCCCGGCCCCGCCCCGCCCGCGGGCTCAGGCAGCTCCGCAGCGCCCCCGCCGCTGCCGCCGCTGCAGCCTCCGCAGGCGCCGCGTCCACGCGTCCCTCCAAGGCAGCACGAGGCTCCCGCGGGCGGCGCTAAGCCCGGGCCCGCGGCCTCCTGGGCCGACAGCGGTCCCCGGACCACCCCCGAGCAGCAGGTAGCGGCGGCCAGGCAGTAGGCGCGGACAGCCGCAGGCCGCGTCCCGCGCAGGCACCCACAGCGCACTGCTCCCGCGCCGCGCGCGCTCCTCGCCGCTCCGGAACACAGCGAGCACGGCCACCGGGAAGCGCGTCCACAAGCCACGCGCCTCGCCGCCCGCGCCCACTGCCACCTGCACCGCTGCGGAGAGGGAGAGAGGGGGGCAGGGTCAGACGGGGCCGGCCGGGAGGGGCAATGGGTGCCCACGGGAGTGGAGGGACACAGGACACTCACGGGAGAAGGGGGGCGGGAGTGGACACGGGGTTTGGGGGATGACGAGGTGGAGCCAGAGCCGGTGGGCCACCGATGGATGAGGCATGGCCTGCGGCCAGTAAGGATCAGGGTATCCAGAGGGAAAGTGGGCAGGGCAAGGTGAAAAAGTCAGGGTACGAGGCCTGAGGTAGGCCTACCGTAGTCCTTCCTGCAGAATTTCTTCAGGTTTATGCGGTAGCTGCCACGAGCCGGTTTGCAGTGCAAGTCGCAGTCTGGTGGGGGGTCGGAGGAAGCTGGCATAGATCCCGATTTACCCCACCCCCTCCTCCCCTCGGGGAACCCAGAGCCCCTTTCACCACTGACATGCGAATCTGGGACACTGTCCTGTGTCCACTCACCCTGGGGCTCCACAGCGCTGCTCTCCTCAGTGGGTCCAGGGATAGGGGTCTCTGCATTAGAGTGGGGGAACAGTCTGCATCTGAGGGACTGGGGCCCTGCAGAGCTCAGGGGACAGGTAACAGTAGCAGGGACCTGGGGTGGCCTCGGCAGAGGTGGCCTAAGCAGGGCAGGGACACTCACTAACGCAAGGTGCCACTGGAGAGCGGCTCTGCTGGAAGCCAGGTGCGCAACGGTTGCAGGTGAGGCCGGTGACACCGTCCTTGCAGGGACACTGGCCTGTGGTTTGGTTGCAGGTTTTGCCAGCAGCACCAACAGGATGACAGTCACAGGCTAGGACAAAGGTGGGATGGTCAGAAGCCTATCTGGGGATGTGGAAAACCAGGGTTGGGGGTGTGGAGGAGGCTGGCAGCAGGCTCACCCCTGCAAGCACGGCGGTCACTCAGGGCACGGCCAGGGTCACGATAGAAGCCCTCCCGGCAATAGTGGCAGTGGCGGCCGGCAGTATTGTGCCGGCAGTTGAGGCAGACACCGCCACTGTGGCGGCCGGACAGCCGGTACAGCTCCATGTTGAAGCGACAGCGGCGGGCATGGCCATTGCAGGCGCAAGCTGCAAGGAGGGATGGGTTAGGGGCGGGCTGGCCCAGTCCAAGATCCCCAGGCCACCCTCAAAGCCTCACCAAGGCAGGCGTGGGCTTCCCAGGCCGTGGCCCGCTGCCAGGGCCTGTCACAGTAGAAGGGCTTGCAGCGGCTGCAGTCAGCGCCCTCGGTGCCATGCCGGCAGTCGCAGATCAGGTGGCCCTGGGTGTCCTGCAGGCACTGTGAGGCATGCCCATTGCACTTGCAGCGCCCTCCTACCTGGAGCTCAGTGGCTGAGTAAGCGTAAGGGGCCATAGCAGCAGAGTCCCTGGTGTACCCCAGCATGGCAGGCCTTGTAAGCACCACTCGGATGTCTGTGGCAGTCACCCAGTCTTGGAGCACTGGGCTGCTGTCCAGATCCAGGCCTGGCGGGCTGCCATCCTGCACGCTGAAGGCCAGAAGGCCACCACCGTCAGGCTGGGCTTGGGGCTCAGGGAAGCACAGGGCTTCAGGCCCTGGGCCACCTGGGCCATTGGTGGGGGCAGGCAGGCGCCCATAGTCCAGGCCACAGCGGGAGGAGAAGAAACCCAGAGGGGCCCAGCTGTGGCCATGATCCTGAGACTTGAGCAGAGCCACCGAGGTGGGGGGTGTGGAGCAGAAGCGCAAGCTCACGAACACCAGCTCGAAAGCCTTGCCCAGGGGCACTGTGAGGGTCACGTTGAGAGGCGCCTGCGTCAACGAGTCTGAACGCCAGCACACAGGGCTTGCGGTGCCCCCTGCGGAGGTCAGGAGGGCGGCCGGGTGTGCCCGCCGTGGGTCCGAGGCGTTGCAGGCCTGCGTGGCCGGCCGGCCGCACGTGCTAGACGCCAGCACCTCGCGGCCCAAGGCCGCATTCACCAGGCCCGGCACGCAGCCGCGGGGCGCGCCCCCCTCATCATGGCAGGGGTCCGCGGGCGCCGGTGGCCCGGGGCTCAGCGCAGCGGAGAGCGTGCCTGCGGTCAGCAGCAGCCCCCAGAGCCAGCTGGGCATGGCCGGAGCCGCCGTGGGGCAGCCGGCCGGCCGGCCCAGGGCTCCACGCCGTTGCCCTGGCGGACAGAGAGCCCAGTCTGGGTACGAGGCCCTGACGGCCGGACCCGCACTGCCGAGCAACCAGAGCCCCCAGGCGGCCCTAGCCGGGGCCCAGAGGTGGGAGCCGCCGCGGGCTCGCCCCGGGCCGAGCACACCAGTGGGGATGCCGGCGCGTCCTCCCACTGAGCCTGGAGCGATGACAGGCGTCGCCCACGCTCCAGGCGCCTCCGCCCACGGCGGCCCCACCCGCTGTCCAGCGCTCGTACTCACCCACCGAGGGCCGAGTGGAGCAGGTCTCCCTGCCTCTCGGGAAGGGCCAAGGGCGGGCGGGGCCTGGGGCGCCCCGGCCGCTGCCTCCTCCCGGCTGCAGCGAGGGCGGGGGAGCTGTGCCAGGAGGGGGTAGGGGGCGCAGCAGGCGCAAGCCTGGGCCCAGCCGGGGGCGGGGCTGCTCGGGCCGGGAAAGAGGGAGGGGAGGGGGGCCTCATCTGCAGAGCCGGAATCAGAAGCAGATTCAGACACTGCCTGGGCCAACGGGGGAGAGGGCTGGGAGGCCCTGGAGCCGGGGGAGGGGCGGGAGAGGCAGGAATGTGCTGGCTGGAGGGGTTTGGAGGGGGTGGCTCAGTCAGGCAGCCCGTGGGGGACCACACAGCAGGGTCCCCGGCTCGCAGGCAAGCCTTGAGTGCTCCTGGGGTTATGCCACGTGCTGGGTGGGGGTCTGGCTGCTTCCTCGCTCAGGTCCATCAGGCAGAGGGAATCCTGATCTTAAGGCTGGGGCCAAGATGCTCCCCTTGGTCTGTACAGGGTATACTCAGGACAGCGGCAGTCAAGTGGGATGGCGCTTGTGAGGTGTCCCCAAGGCAGCAGTCTGCTCAGCAGAAAGAACCCAGGATTATGGCTAGGTCTGAGTTTGAATCCAAACTGCTTCAGTTTCTGGCTGTGTCGTTCACATTTCCTTACTCTGCCTGAGCCTCAGTTTCCCCATTGGACAGATGCCTGTTAATTCAACTTTGCTGAACCGTTGAGGGGATCTGACGGGCCACATAGGTATTGGGTATAGCCAGAGGCTCACAACTGCTCTCCTGAGGACTGGCCTGAGCCTGACTAAGGGATAAAGCTGGCATCCCCCACCAGGATCAAGCCAAACTCATGTCCCAAAGCATCCCTGGGGCTCTGAGTGTCTAGCTGTAGCACCACGATAGACCCAGCCCTCCCAGCAGACAGGGAGCAGCAGACGTGCTTGTGGGGGTGGGGGTGGGGGGCAGGTGTCACAGCTCACTAGGTGGCAGGGCCCCTGGGGGCAAGGGCTTGGTCATCAGTTGAAGATCCCTGTGGAGGGGGAAAGGGTGGTTACAGAGGGCTCAGAATCAGAACCCTTAAGCCTAGCCTCCATAACTAGCAGGTTTGGGCAGAGAAACCGAGGCAGAAACCCAGCAGCCTTGGCACTACCTGGGGATGGTGCAGCCGTATCTGAGAGTGTGCTAGCCAGAAGGGACTAGGAATCTCACTGGATGGAGAGACCACTTCCCCTCCATCTTTACGTCCTTGATAGGGGGGAGCCAAGCATCCCAGGAACCAAGCATTCCTCTGGCACCATGCAGAGGGGGCAGGGAACACGGAGCATGTCCCACCTGGGAGCAGCTGAAAGGCCTGAAGTTTCAGATGGGAGCCTGACCCCAGGGAGGCCCTGCTGCTGGCGGAGGACAGCATGTGGGTGTGCCTGTAGGCAGAGCTGCTACCTTGGCTGGGCCAGAGATGGTGCAAGGCCTGGCAAGAACAGGATAGAGAAGCAGCATCCTTGTGTTGAGGTGAGGCAGGGCAGGCCAAGTTGCTCCTGTCTTTTTGAGCTTTAACTGATTAACTCTGGGTTTTCCTGGCCTTACTCTCTTTCCACCCCGCTCATATCTATTTTCTTGCCTAATAGAAGGACGCTGGACCTCTATGGCAACCTGAAGAAGAGGGTGGAGCAAGAGGGCTTGACCCTGGAGGATGAGCATCAGGAAAATCAGGGCTAGGGGGCACCTGCAGCGCCTGACACCCTCTGGTCAGACCCTCTCCTAGGCCTACCTGGGACACATATAGGGGCTCGGGGTGGAGGAACCAATGGCATGATGAGAGACTTCCACAGGACTGAGCCTGGAGGGCCAGAGGGGCTGCTGGCTCCTCTCGTTTCTCGGAGCAGCAGAGAAAGGCTGTGGGTTCCCTGCCCCACAGAGCAGGGGCCATGGGGATTTGTCCCTCAAATTCCACATGCATGAATAAGGGAGCTGGCAGGCATATGTTCCGCTCTAGGATGGGTCAAGTTCAGAAACAGCACCTCCAATCACCTTCTTCAAGGTCCTTCTAGTCTTGGGCCTCAAACCCCCCCTCCTGGGATGGAAGGAGCCCTGATGGGACAGCAGGGGCCATAGTAGATTCTGCTTGGAGCAAAGATGTGACAGCTGGCTACAGTGGGGAGAAATGCCCAGGGGTGCTCTGGGGCCTGAGACCAGCCTCTCAAGAAGCCCTGGCTGTCCGGACTTCAGGACTCCCAGCCAGGAGGGAGGAAAGCAGGAGCAGTCTCTCCCCCCTTGTCAGCCTGACAGGCTTTGTCTGCTGCTTCCAGTTGGGGCTAGGGTGTTCAGAACATCTGGTGGCTCCTGACTGTGGGTGGAAGGAGGCCCCAGGGGGCTCAGCCTGCTGCGAGTGTCACTGGGGTCAGCAGGCAGGGAGCCGGGGCTCACTGGCTCCCCTGGGAAGAGACTGCAGGCAGCGGGGCCTCTTCCCTGCAGTGGCCCCTGTACACATTCTCTTCTGGCCCCCAGGGCAGGCCTGGCAGATGGTGTAATGGCAGTTAGGGAGAGCTGTTCCCCCAACCCCAGCCAGGCTCATTGCTCCTTGTGGGCTCTGCCACCTGTTCCCAACCCCAGACGGGGGCCTCTCACACCTCCCATCTCTAGGCTGGCCCTGCCCCCTCCTGGCACCTTGGAAGAACCTGTGTCTCCCTGAAGCCCCTGCAATTCTTCAGATCACTGCAGTCCCCCACCTCGTTGTGACAGTGCTGGCTTTGCGGCACTCAGGGAACCTATCTAGGGGAGATGCATATGAGGGGTCTGACATTCCCAGGGCTGGGGAGTGGGTGCTGGGCTCTTTCCTTTGAAAAACCTACTGACAAAATAAATACTCCCTGCCTAGTCCTGGACCTTACTGCCCCTGCCAGACACTTGCAAACCATCACTTGTTCGCAAATGGCACAAACATTTATTGAGCGCCTGTTATGCTTTGAGGGGCTTCCAATCCAGTGGGGAAGGTTGACAGCTGGGGGAGAGGACACAGCACGCGGCACCTCTCACCCGAGGGGGGTGGCCACGCCGAGTCCCAGCCAGCGGCCGCCACGCAATCCGCATCTATGGCAGGGCCCCCATGCCGCTCAGACTGGCTCTGAGTTCGCGACCAGCTGTGCTCGCCAAGCGAAACGTTGCAAAGAAACATTGGGCGGAGAGGGGAGAACCGAGTCGGAGGAAGGGAGGTAAATAACTCGTAGCCCCTACCGCCCTGGCCTTCTAAGGATTCGGAAAAGAACCGTCTTGCAAGGAGGCTTCTGCGACCAGCGTGCTGCACTACCCTCGCCCTGCTTGTGCGAGGTCGGGGCGGAGGTGGCGCCCGGCTCGCCGTGACCTCGCTGGGGAGGGCCTCGCCCGCGGGCTCAGGGGGTCCCCGGCTCCCGCCTGACCCCGCGCCCGGCCCCCCACCGCCGCCGCGCGCGCCAGCATAGGAAGGCGGCGGCCAGGAGCCCGAGGCCTGCGCCGAGCGCGGCCAGAGACACGCCTTGGGCCAGGTCCAGGCGGGGTCCGCGCAGCGAGAAAGTGATGGCCGTGGCGGCGCCGCCCGCCAGCAGGGCCACAGCACCGAACGGCAGGACGCACCGCGGCCACGAGCCCCCGGCGTCGCCGGTGGCCAAGAGCAGCGCACGCAGTGCCCCGGGGGGATCGGGGAGTGCGGCAGGCGCCGCGGCCCGGGACTCGGGCGCTCTCATGCCACTGACGCAGGGGCCTCGCTCGGGGTGGGTGTAGGCGCTCGCACAGACCCCGCTTAAGTCCTCACCCGCCACGCCAGAGCGGATTGGCCCGGGATGCACTGACGCCACTGGGGACGATGAGAGGAGTTCGCCGCTGCCTCCGCCTCCGGTTTGGAGCGGAATCTGAGTGGGCGGGGGCAAACCCGGAGGGGCTCCCTTTCCTGCTCTGGGCACCGTGCTGGTGCCTACCCAGACTTCCCCCGCCCTCGCCCACTCACGCTATCTGCCACAACCCCTGCCCAAGAGGGCCCCCGTGCCTGCAGTGGTCTGCAGGACACCACTAGTGCCCAGGACTGGAGGTGGACAGCACTCCTACCCATGTGGGCAAAGGCTAGTAGGGAAGGTACACAACAAACCAAACTAATGCTGGTGGAGAACACCTGCTATGGGGTTCAGCCTCAGATGGCCAAAAACAGGGTGGCAGGGGATTTGCTGTGGGGATTAAAGATTCTTTCAGATCTGAGCACCTGGACATCAGCTCGGGAGTGACCAGGAGGGGGTGGCTGTCCCCCAGACAGGAATCTCTGGATTCCCGTCCTGGGCAGCGACAGGGCCGCGCCATTCCCTGGGAGCTTCTCAGTGCAGTGAAGACCCTGTTTTATTTCCTATTTTGCAGTGTCATCTGGTCCCCAGAAGCCCTCAAAATCTGGACTTCCATGTCCAAGGTTTCTGGCTTACTGGACAGCGGGGCCTTTACAAATGGGACCTCCTGCTGGGGATCTGGAGTCATCCCCAGGCTGCTACATGGCCCAGTTCATCTCCGTACCTGCAACACTTCATGTGGCTCTCAGGAGACCTACCTGGCTTTCTCCAGGAGTTACCTGCCTTCTAGGCCTGGGTCCCTGGGGGCAAGGTGGGTGTTATTTTCTGTCGAGCCCATCCATGTCCACACAAAGGGCCTGTGCCCCAGGTGACGATCTGTATTCATGCTGAGTACAGGCTTATTGAAAGACTGCCACAGCCTCCCAGCCCTAGCATTGGCGAAGTTTCTGCACCATCTCCTGTACCTTCATCCCGGACCCAGGGCAATAACCACTATCCCCAGTATTACTGTGGGGTCAACACTGTGAATTGAGCTCTAGGCCCTTAAGAATCTTGCTCAAGGTCCCACAGCAGCAAGCGAGTCAGTCAACCCTAATCTGTGCCTGGTGTAAGCCAGAGGCCCTGACTCCTGCACTTTACCTCCCAGGAAGCAGCGATTCCTTCAGCAGTGGAGGTGGAAGCCTCAGAGGTCACAGTGGGGCAGGTGAGGGGTGACATGTGAGGGCTGAAGGGCCTCTTCCCTGCTGGTGGCTAAGTGTGAGGGCCCCACGCAGGCCACAGCAGTGGCCCAGGAGGTGGTCAGCAAGGGTAGCAGGAGGGACAGCTGTGGGCACAGTGCACACTCTGGGCTTGTGGCTCTTGTTTTCCAGTGGGCCCAGCAGATCTAGGCAGTGGGTGGGAGGCTCAGTTTCAGGTGTGCTAGGGCCAACACACGAGGTGAGTCCCCAGTGCAGCCCACCTTGAATGGCCTTGCCCTCCCTTCAGTACAGAGAGGATATGCATGTTCATAGATATACTGACATATTTTTGGTAAGCAAAAACACGAAGAAAACAAAACAGACACTAACTCCCACCTTGACATGATTTAAATATATTACTTTCTAAAGAAGTATGAAAACCACAGAAGCAATTTCGAGTCTAAAGCAAGGAAAAACAGGTTGCTAAGAGCCCCTGAGGCTGCGGGCGGCCAGCCAGCAGAGGCCCGAGCAGCAGGCCTAGCAGCCACGGGCCCTTGGTTCCTTAGGAAGTGCCAGGGGCCGCCCCACCCCACCTTGGAAACCTGGCTTTCCCAGGAGGCACAGGCACTCTGGGCCCCCAAGAAACCTCCATCCCCATTCACTTAACTCAGAACAGGGAGGGGAGCTCTCGCCTTGGCCCCAGGGTCCTGGGCCTGGGAGTGGGGTGGGGGGCGATGGGGTTCAGTCGGCAGGTCCATCTTGCAGGATGGTGAGGAAGTGCTGGCCCCCCTCACAGAGCAGGCTGTGTGCTGCCCGACACAGCGCCAGCCAGGCAGGCCCCAATGGTTCCTGCGTGCTCACCAGGGGGAGAAGTTCTGCCATCAGGACCTGGGGGTGGTGCAGGGCCAAGGTTTCCAGGGGGACCCCTAAGGTGGGGCGATTGCAGGGCAGACTTCATATACCATGCTCCGGCCCCTCCCTCCTCCCAAAGCTCTCCCAGCACACTGTGTCCACCGTGCACACAGGCCCAGAGGCTCCCATCCTTCTGGTTGGTCCTGGGGGATGGAATGCAGACAGGCTCTTGAGTGAGAGCCCTCACAAGGCCCCGGACCTGAAGTCTTTGTCACAGCCCATAGCTCCCTTGGCACCCAGTGTCCCACTCCCCACCCCTATTCTGGAAGTACCTTCTCCAAGTGGATCTGCTGGTCTAGCATGGCCACCCGCAGCCTGAGGGCTGCCAGGGCATGCAGCTCCTCGGTACTGGAGTAGAGAAGCAGCTGGGGGCTCCAGATGGGGTCTGCTCCTCCTCCACAGGGCAATGAGGCCCTGGACACTGTCTCTTCAGGCCATGGCCCCAGCTGCTGTCCCATCACTGCTGTGGGGACAGGGCATGTGGCTTCATGGGGCAGCGGCCAGGCACCTCCTCCCCACTTGCCTTTAAGGGGTGTAAAGTCTCCCTTTGCCTCTTGGATGAAGCCCTATTGTCTACAAGCAACCATCTCTTCCAATACCACGTGAGTCACTTGCAGTATCTGCTTCTCACATGCCACTTTCTCAATAACTGGACAAATAAGCAAACTGTTTAGTGGTGGGCTCTTGTGTTGGAAGAGGGAATGGGGTAAGTGGCTGTCCCCACTGGCCTGACAGGACAACTGGTAAGAACTCACAACACAGTGGAGGGATGTGGGGAAGGGTCCCACCTGCACGTAGCTCCTGCAGCCTGTGAAGACACTGCCCTGCAATGGCCTGCAGCCCCTCCAGGGTGAGCAAGCAGCGGTATTCCTGCATCCAGTCCCTGGGGTCTAAGCAAGAGTCAGGGAGGGCGGGCAGGATCCATGCCAGTCCTGAAACTCTCCCTGACCCCAGCCTCCACACCCTGACCTCAGCCCCGCATCAGGGCCACTGACCTGCTGCAAGCTCCTCACCCATGCGTAGTCTCAGCAGCCAGCAGGCCCTCCGCAGGCGCCCCACCTCCGCCTCCACCTCAGCAGCACTGAGCCCGGAGCTGGGCCAGCCTGACTGGACCCAGGTCAGGGAAACTCCCCCTTGACAAAGCTTCTCCCCTCCCACAAAGGATGGGGTCCAGGCTGCAGCTCCTCAAACCTGCCAGGCTGAGAGCTAGAACCACCCCTCCAGCACCACCGCCCCCAGGTCCCAAAAGCCCAGCAAGGATACAGTTGTCTGCATTTTCTGGAGGAACTGGGTTTTGGCCGTGGTAACAGCGTTCATGGAGTCACTGGTCTGTGTACAGCTGAGCTGGGCCCACAGGCTAGGATGCATATGCAGTCACCCAGGGAACCAGACAGGGATAAGGTTATTTCAGCCAGCTGGCCTGGGCCTTGCCGGGTAGGAAAGGGCCAGGGCAGAGACCCCAGGAGACCACTGTCCATGAAAAGGGGACAGAGCTTATCTACTCTGGGAAATACTAGCACAGACTCCACAGAAGGGAGGGAGGGGCCAGCAGTGACCAGTAACTCGAACTGGCAAGAGCTCTGGTGCTGGCCCTGTACCAGGCACAGTGAAGGGCACCAGCTCCGGCTTGTTTAAACCTTACGGTGCCTCTATGAGCGGGCACTGTGATCCTCACCTTCATGGGGACGCCAGACTGGGACTTGGGATACCAAATGCCTCGCTCAAGGTCTTGAAGCTCGTGGTGCAGCTGTGCTGGGGCCCCCAAGGCCTGCTGAGTCTATGGCAGGCCTAGTAGGGCACTTTCCTAACATGGAGGGCAAGCCCACCCAGCAAAGGGTCCTACTGGAAGTCTTGACAGCGTGGGCCCGAGCTGGTGGGAAGCCTCAGCCTCCCAAACCTCCACACTCCCTTGCTCTTCCCTCCACTGCAACCCAGCCGAAGGACAGCCTCACCGGGAGTTCTGGGAAGCCGCCTTCCTGAAGGCCAGGGGCAGCTGCAGCAGGGTCCTGTCAGGGAAGCCAATGCTCAGCAGCCTCTCACTCTGAGGTCTGCTGGCACTCCCCACCCAGAGCCGAATCGGGGGTGAGGCTTATGCACTCCCACCCCGCCAGGGCTTCCAGAATGACTGGGAGCCACCCCAGTCCAGGTCTTCCCTGGTAGAGACAAGAGAGCTGCAGGAGCAGGGTCCAGGCCCTCCAGAGTCCCCAGGCTACATGGACAAGAGGACAGGGCGATGGGGAGCTGGGAAGGAGAGGAGGCCAGGCCCTGGCATGACACCCCCAGCACCTTCACAGCTGTTCCATTTTGCCAACGTCAGCTCATGGGCTGCATGGCATAGCACCCCTGATCCTCATCCAGCTCAATGCCCTGCCCCCGTCACCCCAAATTCCAGACTCCTGTTGCTGGCGGGGTCTGATCAGGTAGAGACAACAGCTCCTCCAGCGAGGATCTGGGAACCCTACCCCTTCTCCTTGAGTGTGAAAGCTTCTGGGACACGAGGAGCAGCTGATGGGGCTCTCTGTTGGTCCCTGAGGCCTGGTCCAGGCTTGGTGGCTCGGGCCGCTTTATCCCTACGAGTCCCATGTCCGGGTGACAGAAGCCTGCGCTCAGGTGCCTTGGTAGGCCCTGTGGTCTGGCGGGTGCCCCTTGGGAGTTTTGTCTCTGATGCTTGGGCTGCCCGGCCTGAGGCCTGGGGTGGGGCAGAGGCTGTGGTAGCAGAATCAACAACTGACCCAGACTTCAGGCTGGGGTCCTGGTCCCTCTCTCCAGCCTTCCAGATGCCTTTTCGCACCTGTACAGCTTTCTCCAGGGCCTGGGTCAGAAGCTCCAGCTCTTTGATGTCTTCGGAGCTGGGTGTGCATGCTGCAAAAGCCAAGAGTCACGTAGTTGTCCCTCACCCCTGCAAGCCAGAAGACAGGCCAGGGGCAGCACCTGGAGAAGGTGGGTGGCGGTTTACCTGGAGACGGAGTTTCTTCAGTTTCTGGCCCTGGGGTTGGCTCCGGAGCCGGGGTCTGCTCTGGTACCCTGCGAAGACACAGAGCAGCCGTGGCACGTCCCGGAGGCAGGGCCCAGGCCCAAGAGACACCACGGGTCGCCTAGCCTGGGGCACCGGCCCAGCCTCCCAGCATCAGAGCTTGCAAGGAAAGGGGGGAAAGGAAAGTACTGATAACGGGCAACTCGGAAGTGGGTGAGGGGCCCGGCCCTAAGGGCGCGAGGGGGCGCACAACCGGTGGCCTCGGGTCCCGCGTACCAGGCCCGCAGGAGCCGTCGGGCTACGCGCAGGCTCCGCTCCAGCTGCCGCTGTCGCTCGTCGCAAGCGTCCAGGGCGCCCCGCAGCTCGGCTACCAGCCTGGGAAGGACGCATCGGCAGCTCAGCACCCCACCGGCCTCGGGCGGCGCTCCCTCCCGCCCCGCTCTCCCCCGCCTCGCGGGCCTCACCGACGCGAGCAGCCGGCGGGCAGCATGAATGTGGCAGTGGCTCCTCGCGATTTGCCGCCTCCGGCAAGTCCTGCCCCTTCCGGACTGTAATTCCGCCCCCTTCCGTCCGGGTTACCCAATCCCGAGCCCAGAGCTCAGGGCCCACCCTTCCCGATAACGGCCAGCCTCAAGCCCCGCCCCGGAGGCCCCGCCCCGCCCCCGGGTCGCAGCCGGCCTGGGGGACCCGCAGGCTTCTGGTTTGGGTAACTGAGTAGATGGTGGCATCAGGGATCGCTTAACTGATGGCTTTGTCTTAGTGCTCATTGAAGGCTCTCTAAAACAGGGCCAGCTGCCTTGCTGACCTTGGCTACGTAGCACAGGGCGAGGCCTGCGGAGGGGACTAATAGGTATTTACTGGGAGGACCATAGCTAGAGATGAGGATGACCTGCGCTTTGGGAGTTGGAACAGAGGGACTGCCCGCTTTTGGACATACTCGTGAGGTGATGACACCCAGGGCGGGCATCAGGTACGGACTTGGGCAGAGGGTGATAAAGCCCCTGAGACTGGGGAAGGTGGCACATAGAGCAATGGGCCTGGGCAAGATGGTCCAAGGTGGGGAAGGCAAACACGGACAAGGACAGGGGAAGGATGGATGACACAGGGAGCTGGAGCCGAGAGGTGGAGGAGCTGGTCTGGTGTCACAGAAGCGATAGGAGGCTGTCCTAGAAGGGAATGTCCTTGGGATAAGGCATGTGACTCAGGGAACATCTGAGGGACTGTGGGGATGGATGCTGGCTGGGAGGGGTGATGCAGGCGGCAGGCACCAGTGCAGCTGAAGAACGAGAATAAAGAACAATGTAAACATGCAGGGCCAAGAAATCTCAGGGTAGATGGACGACATACCTGGGCAGGGAGCTGGGGATTAAAGATGGAGAGGTGTGTTCCATAGTTGCTAATTGGGAAGGTGCTGCAGCATAGGGGGCAGAGACACACAGCAGGACAGCTGAGGGTGCCAGATGGGAGGGGAAGGGGGCTGCTCTTAGGGTGGTCCCTCCATCATTTCCATGTCCAGTGAGGGGAGGTGATGGCACTCCTAAAACGAGATTCTTGGTGAGGTAGGAGGGGAGGGGATGAGGATTCACTTAGGATGCCAGGGAGACCCTACTCTGTAGGCAGACGAAATTAGGTCCCCAGTGGTGTGGTTTCCTCCTACAAGGTGCAGGCTGGGAAAAGGCAGGGAACTGGTCCACCCAGAGCTGGGGTTCTGATTCCGAGTCTTGGGCCAGGGGATGAACAGTTCAGACAAGCACCTCACTCAGCTGTCACCATCTTCATCACATTTAATCCTCACAACACCCCTGTGAGGTAGGTATTGCCCCACCTTACAGATGAGTAAACTGAGGCTCACACATGCCCAGAGGCACAGTCAACAAGAGGTCTGCAATTCCAGTGTCAGGGTCCCCCTCACCCCAGACATGTGCCCAGGATGGCCAGAATTCTCCCACAGAAGCAGAAAGATGGCCCCCACAGGGAGGTCGTCACACACACAAGCACCAAGATAAGCCACTGAGTCAGCATGTCCCTGCAGTTCTGTTGAAAGAGCATTTGGGGGACATTCCTCGCCAGGAAGTTCTCCCTGACATGAGAGGAAACAGGAACTATGCCAGTAGATGAGTGTGTTGGTGATCCAGCCACCTGTGAGGTCAGGGTCAGCTTTCAGAAGCTCTCAGACGGGCTGGCTGCTGGCCCCATGGAGTGTCTGTGGCTCATTGCTCCTGGGGTCCCAGAGCAGATCCAGGCTTACCCAACCCAGCAGACAGGGACAGATCCTTTTAATCTTGCTCTTTCAAACCTTGGTCACCTCAGATGTTAAATATGATGTATAATTTTTTCTGGCTAACTTCTCTGGGAAAATTCTTTTTGCATAGAATGTCAGGATAGCATTGAGGAGCCTGAATCAGATTTTCTATTTTCAGCTGAACCTAAATAATATTTAAAATTTTACCATCCTTCAATTTAATACCTTCTATTTTTAATTTTAGTTTTCATTTTAGAAGAATGAGAACAAAGACAGGAAAAGAAATAGCCCAGAATTCAGTGCAAAGAGAGGTTTATGGGGACACAGACAAATTATTCTGGGAGGGGATAAAGATTCTCAAATGAGCAGAGAATACAGGCCTATGACCAGGACATCCCAGTGCTGGCCTGCAAAGTCAGGGCCCCTACTTGGTGGCCATGTGGAGCCGACAATGGTCGGAGCTGGGCTCCCTCTCCACAGGACCCGCCACCCAGTGAGGAAGGAAGCAGATGTCCTCAGGGACAGTGGTGTGCTCATAGTTGTCAGCTCCCCTTGGATCCAGAACCAGTTAGATGCAGGGAGGGATGAGCAGAACCCGGCTCCCTGGGTTCCCCTGTCCTCAACTGTGCACCCTGGGGGCTCCTGGGGTGGGGCTCAGTGGGGCTGAGGTCAGGACATAGGCTGAAGCTTCCTGGAGAGAGCAGGATGGGACACAGGAGGAAACATGATAAACTGGCTTCACACAGTGTGGCATGATTGCCTCGAGGGTAAACTTTCCAGCAACAGGGATCTGAGTTTTGGTTTTGATTCAGATATTCTGCCGGCTCGCGTGGTTCCCGGGGAAAGGAGTTAGTGCCTGTTCTCGCGACAGGAGAGTCTGCTGCAGGGTCTGCACGGGGAGACACCGCTCTCCAGCGCCCCCATGCGGCCAGCACAGCAGACCTCCGGCCTCGGTAAACTTTCACTGTGGCAAATGCCCTGACACTCACAGCTTCAGGAAGCTCAAGTTCATGTCTTCCTCCTCCTCACTGTGGGCAGAAAGGTGTTTCTTCTTTACCTGTCGCCAGGGAAAGCTGCTCTCCGGGGGGCTCAGGGGCCGGCAATGTAAACATGACTTCCTGGCACGATGGTGGCAAGGCTGTGTGCTTGAGTGGCTGCCTGGGGACAGCACTGAGGTAGATCGGGGAGGGCCCCCCAAGCCGCCGTCCACGGAGTTTGTGGGACTTGAGCTACTGACGGAGGAGTACCCTGAGGTCATAATGTCCTTGCCCGGCTCCCTCCTGCCACAGAGAGGGGGCATGGGCCCTGGCGATGGAGGCATCTGGGTGTCTGCTGCAGAGGCATGTGAATCCTGGTGTCCTTCATCCTCATCGCTCGATTCCTGGCAGCAGTGCTGTTCTGGGTTCAAGTAGACCACAGTGACATCAAAGATGCCACTGGGAGCCGTCACTGTGGGTGACATCAGGGGAGGTCAGGCCACAGCCGGTGCGTTGGGGCAACACCCACAGTCAGGACCTAGGGAGGTCCAGCGTGCAGCTCTCAGCCTGGACAGTCCCCTATACACTCTCCTTTGGGTATGAAATTGCGGGTGAAGTGCCTCCTTCAGCTTGGGGTAGCACCCAATGGGACTTGGGGACAGTAGGAAATGAAAAACTGGCCACCTAATAATTTACCTAATCCTTTGAGTTGGACACAAAACAAGCAAACTGGGTTTCCTGCATCATCAGTGCCCGAGAACACGGGGACAGAGCCCCCAGCAGCCTGCCCTGGAGAGCGTGTGTGCACGGGTGGTGGGGGCACATCTCACAATATTCCAGAGATCTCATTGGGACCTCTAGGGGAGATCCTTCCATCAACACGGGCTAGGCTGGGGTGGACACAGGTTCAGCCTACCTCTTCCCTCCCAGTGGGTGGTGTGCTGGGGCTGGGGCTCTGTGGGGGCTCCCTGTCCCTGTGAGAGCTCACCATCGCCCTCCTTCTCTCCCTCGCTCTCCTGGTCACCCTCGTAGCCCGAGCAGCAGTCCAGGCTCCAGTCCAGGAAGCTGCCCAGCAGTGTCTCCTCCTGGCTGGATAGCTCGGCGGTGGGCGTGGTAACGAAGCTGCCCCTGTCCTCCTGCAGGCTATTCTCCCGCTTCCTGCGAGGTAGGGGAGCCGGGACCCGGTCACAGGCAGCAGTGTTGAGGGGCCCGGCCAGGTCCATGGCACCCACCTGCCCTGCCTGTGTGCTCAACTGGGTACACAGCCACCCCGCCTGCTTGGGACCCTCCAGCAGTGATGGACAGAGCAGCAGGGTGGTGAGGGCCCTGCTCATCTGCACTTTGTGGGACTTAGGTGGGTGAGGAGGCAAGGGGGGCTATTCCAGGCAGTATAGCCAGGACATTGAGACAGGAGAGATGTGGTAAAGGGATAGGTGCTGCAGATGAGAGTGGAGACCAGAGAGGCAGGGGAGGCACCAAGGACACTGGTCGTGTCACAGCTGAAGCGGCAGGAGTCCAGCAACACTGCGGCCCAGGATGGGCGAGTGGCAGGGCCAGCCTGAGCTGGGCTCAACCCATTGCCTGAGACCATCTTCCCTCAAAGGTAGCTGGGATAGAGCATGAGGCTCGAGAGCGTGCAGAGAACAGGGGTGGGGAGACTAGCCCAGTGGCGCAAGGCCTGGCTCCAACCCCAGCCTCATTCGTGGCATCTGCTGTTCTCCCCTACGCCTTAGGAGGCCCCTGTGTAAAAGGGCACAGAGCTCCTTTGACAGCTGCAGGGGTCACCACATGCAGCAGCATCAGACTCGGGCTTACGAACCGCTTGGTTCTCCTCCCAGGAGAGCTGAGGAAGGTGTGGATGTCCCCTGCGCTGAGGAAGGATGTGGGCTCTGGGCTCTCCTGCTTCACGCCTAGAGCTGCACAGAGCTGGCTGTAGCTCAGCACCTGAGGGGAAGCCAGGGTCAGGGGGAGGGGCGAGGCTGCGACCCCACCCCAGCACCCACCAGGCGCCCAGGGGCAGGGCAGGAGGGCGGCACCTCTTCCTGGCTGATCTCTTGATAGCGCTTGTCCTCAAATCGCTGCTTCACAGCAGTCAGAGAGACCTGCCGGTAGTCCTTGGGGGCATCGTCGTGGAAGCTGCAACAGAGGGGCGCGTCAGGGAAAGCAAGGCCGGGGTTCCGGGGCGGGTGAGGCTGCTCACCCAGCCCACCCAGGAGACTTGTTTTTGGCCTCCACTTGCAAGTGAGGGACAACACACTGTCAGAACAGCCCAGTGACGGATGGCCAAACAGGGCGGTGCTGTGCAAGTCTGGTGGGTCCCTGGTTACAGGCAGAGTCACCCACGACCCCGCCATTCCACTCCCAGGGGGTGTCCCCGAGAAGTGCAAATGCTCATCCACACAGAGGCTGTTCACATGTGTTCTCAGCAGTGCTATTCACAACAGCCGAAAGCTGAGTGTCCACCTGTGGCCATCTGTGCACAAATGAACTAGATGTGGTCTGCCCCCACGGTGGGATGTTATCAGGGTGGAGACATTGAAGGTGACAGGCTGGTCACAAAGGCCACGCAGGGTGTGGTTCCATGGCCATGAAATGTACAGAACAGGCAAATCCCCAGAAAGTAGCTAAGTGTTTGCCAGGGGCTGGAGGGTAGGGGACGTTTGGGGTGACAGGCCACCCCCTGCCCCCCACATGTCTGAGCACTGTGAAGGGTTTCTCTTGAGGCTGGTGAAAACACCCTAAAGTGGGTTGTGGTGATGGTCACAACAGGGAATATAACTCGGGGCATCTGAGGATGGGCAGACTGCTGGAGGCGGCTCAGCCCAGCCTGGCGGAGGGAGGAGGGGGTCGCAGTAGTGCAGGGGCAAGGCTGCAAGCTGGGCTGAGCAGCCAGAGGGAAAGAGCTGCAGCGCAAAGCAGAAGTGGAGGTACGTGCCTGGGGCCCAGGTGTGCCAGCTCAAGCTAGACAATGCATCCTAGGCTGAAATCATCACTGGTCAGGGAGACAGTCTCTTTTTTTCTAGTCCATTCTGTTGCCTGAGGAATTAGGTTTGGGTGGGCAACAGCGGGTGGAACAAACAACATGGGCTTAGCATTTTTAAACATCAACCCTGAGCTCAGCTTGCTGTGGGGGCTGTGTAAGGACAGCCTCATGAGCGTCCCCCGTGGTCCTTGGGGACAGCCCGTGTGGCAGAGGCTGGGCAGGGGGCTCGTTTCCTTTTACAGACTTACCACTTTTGATGAAGGCTCAAGACACAGGGTATGAGGTCTTCACAGGAGAACCCAGTGAGGTCCCACAGCCGAGTGGTCCAGGGCTGTGCTGGGGAGGAAAGCAGAAATGACGGCCCACTGATGGCCCACGGCCCTGAGGGCTCAGCAGTGGTTTCCTGGAGCTCAGGCTGCCAAGACCCCATGTATAACGGTACAAGTACTTGCAGCAAATGGTGTGGGAAGCACTTGGCTAGACCCTTCTCTGGCCTCACCCCAGACAACAGCTTCTAGATTGTCCTGATGTTTCCTTCTCCAGGAGAGATGGCCACCCCCTGCCCCCGCATGTCTGAGCACTGTCTCCTGACTCCCAGAATCCCCTGGGCCCTGGCCCAGGCTGTGCTCTCAGTGGCAGGCCACAAGGACTGGCTCCTTACTTTGCCCGTGTGTCAGCCTCGCCAGCAGTAGGGTGGCGGCAGCTAGGTGTGCTGGGGCATAGGCGGCCAGGCTGGTGTGCAGCAGGGAGAGCTCGCAAAGGAAGCTGCACAGGTGCTGGGTTCTTGGTGCCATGGGGGCCAGCGTCAGCAGGACATCTTTGTAATCGACCACAGTGGGGACCTAGATGGAACAGGGAGGCCAACATGGGGTCTTGGCACATGGAGGGCTCATATGCCCACTCAGTGCAGAGGCTGGTTCTCAGCCAGCAGGTATGGGCTCTGGCCCAGTGATGTCCACAGTGGACACTAGGGCGTGAGGTGACACGCCCTGTGGCCTCATGGCCTCTGGGTCCAGGAGGACATTCCAGAGGAGGGCAGTTCAATGCTGAGCAGATGCCCTCAGCTTCTCCTGACACCTCCTGTAACCTCAACTTTGATTTAAAGGGAAAGCAAACAGCCACTTACTCGTATCCTCCCTTCCAGGGCCGAGATGATTTCTCCCATCATCCTCACCAAGTCCTCGTACTTGTACGTGTTGTCCGTGAGCCACACAGCTTCTCGGATCGTCAGGATCTCTTTGCTGATGAACCTGGACTTTCAAGAAAGGGTCTGAGTGCTGAGCCGGCCTCCCTTGGTGGGAGCGGCCACTTGAGGCTTCAGTGACAGGGTAGGGGGCTCAAAGAACAGATGTGTGCCTGCTGCCACTGAGGGAAACAGAAAAGGTCATCTGACCATTACAGGGGCGGGGGAGGAAGAGGGACTGGTGCCCTGGGCCAGTGGAAGAGACAATGGCTGGCTGGCAGGCATGCAGGCAGCTCTGCAGAGGCTCCAGCGCACAGCGTGATGGGTCAGTCCCCATGCCCGGAGGGGTGAGGACTTGCCCTGCCTTGTGCCAGCCTCTGTGGAGCAAGTGCAAACAGCCTAAACCCAGAAGGCAGGTGAGCCAGCAGCACCAGAGCTGGAGGCGTTTGAAGGCCACACAGCTCGGGGTCTGGCAGAACAAATCTCAACTGTCCCTTGGGCAGGTGGTCATCCTGTGCTCTTCTCTCCACCAGTGCAAACTATCAGGGAACATGCTGGTCCAGTGGGTGGACTGGGGCCAAGCCTGCAGCCCCTGTCCTAGGAACTCCATGGCTCCCACGTTGGCTGACGGCTTGACCAAGAGAGAAGATGGGAGGTGCAGGGACCACAGGCGCCAAAAAGGGGAGGCGAGTGGGGCAGCCAAGAGCCTGTGCTTGTGGCTCTCAAGTGGGACGGTGTCAGGTACAGCTCTGAGAGCAGCGATGGGGGCATCTCAGCCTCAAAAATGTTTTTATCTCACTGCCTGCCTGTGGTCCACTCATTCGGCCTCTGATTGCAAAGATATGATCATGGTGTTTAGATGCAGGGAGGCATCTCAATGTGCTCAGCCCTCTCTGGTGAGAAAACCTGGAACGTGTTCCCAAGAGCACATCTGAGAGGGGCCTGGACTGTCTGTGGCCCTGAGCCACACCCCCTCCGCCTGTGGTCCTACGACCTGCCTCGCGGCCACCCAGAGACCACAAGACCCACACCAGCTCCCTGCAGGGCCACATGCACAAGCTTGCTGCAAAGGTGGGCATGGTAGCCTTGGAGTTCTGGGGGTGGCAGAGAGTAAGACAAGAGTTGGGGCTCCTCCGTGACCTCACAGATCAGAAAAACAATCCCAGCGGCATTAGCCCGGACCCCTGCCTCTGGGTTGCTGTGCAAAAGAGGGGTCGGTCTTCGTTCACACCACTGTGCAGGATGAGCCGGTCCCTCACCCCCACGCCTCACAGGCAGACATGGGCAGTCACTACGCAAAGCACTGTCCGGGGAAACAGCAGGCCATGCAGAGACATCTGCTTTAGGGTGGCAGCTGACTTGACCCTCCCTTGCTGCCATGTCACCCCAGGGGCCAGGGGAAGAGGGGCCCAGCCTGAGCCTCTTGAGCAGGGCCACATTCTGGGTCCTGAGACCACATGCAGGGACAGACAGCCCCCCACACTTTGCGGGTCAGCTTTGCCATCCCCACATAGGAGGACCACTCAGCCTGGCTGCTCCCTGAAATGGAAACCCCTGTCTACTGAACGGGCACTGAAGGCCACGTCACTGAGGTGTCAGCATGCCAAGCACTGTTCTCACCGGGTGCAGATGACCATGCAGGCGATGCCCAGCAGCTGGAGCCTGTACCGGGGCACCGGCCTTCTCCGCAGATATCGGTCCACGCACTCCACAGTCAGGTGAAGGCACAGGCTCGTGAAGTCCTTCATGGTGGCGACTTCCACCAGCCAGTCGATCAGAATGTACCTGCGGAAAGAGCATCCCCATGAAAACCAGGGCAGGCCCTCCACAGTGCTGTCTCCCATTCCCACCCGGCCCATCCATCCCGAGGGATGGATCTCGTAATGTGCGGCAGCGCTGGTCCAGCTAGGCACCCGTCCAAGGCTCCAGTGCCATGTGTGGGGGTTGGGGAGGCCCCATGTCTCCCGACTTTATTCCCAGGAGGCAGGTGGGCTTGGGCATCTGTGTGGGATGGCAGAGGGGAGGCAGGAGTGGACCGGACGGCAGAGGGCCGAGAGGAGACAAGCCTCCAATTTCAGCCGGGAGGAGTGGGGCGAGGCCGCAGGAGCACCAGGCGTCTGAGGCTCCCACCAGCCACAGTGGGAGACAGGAGGGGACACAGGAGAGCTGCCCTCTGCACAAAGACCAGTAAGGCCAGCCATTTGCCTCACAGAAGCTCAGCACTTGGAATGGTTAAATCTGCAGCTGACGCAGCGTTACGTGTCAGCCATACCCCAATAAAAGAAAAGAAGGCAAAAGTTGGGTATTGTCTGGCACTGAAGAAAATGGAAAGATGCTCAAGGGTCGAAATATTAATTTTTCAATACAATTATTTCAGTTCTTAAAAAGCAAAAAAAAAAAAAAATGTTTAATGAATGTTAACCCCCCCAGACAGAAATATAATCAAGTCTGAAAAGAGGAGAGGCAGACAGAAGGCACTACCAGCTGACTCCTGACAGGGCCTGGAGAGGCGGGCGGGGGCCAGACCCAAAAGCCCGGCAACTTCCCTGCAGTAGCCAAGGACGTGGCGTCCCTAGCCTGAGGGGGGGCAGCCGGCCTCCCAGGGGAAGGCATGGTCACTTGTAACGAGTGATTACGATCACTCACTAAGGGCCTGACATCACCAACCCGAGGGGCATGGAAATATCCTGCAGCTTAAAAAGTTACTTCCCATTTACTCTCTAATGCACCCCGTGATGGGTACAAGTGCCATCTCCAAACCTTGGAGGAAATGCACCTGCAGAAGCGGCAGCTACCCAGAGGGCCAGGCTCCCTGTTCCTGGCTGGTTGGCCGGCCACAGGGCTTCACACACCACACGGATGCTTGTGATGGTGGGTAGTAAAGAAAAGGTGGTTTTTTGGCTTCAGGAATCGAGATCATAAATCCCATCATTTTTGAAAGACATTAAAAATGGTTTAACTAAGGTTCAAATAAAAAAGAAAACTTGAGAGAATTCACTTATGTGGGGTATTTCCTATTCAAAGCCCTAGGTAATGCAGACTCCACAGGTTCGAGAAAACACACAAAGACACACATGAATGGGGTGATTCGGTGGCCGTGAATGACACAGGGCGCCCCGTGACAGTGGATCCCTTTGCCCTGGAGGCCGGCTGTGGCCAGGCCTCAGGCGGGCAGCTGTGGCGTAGAGCACCCACCTCATGGTGTCGTTGAGGCCTCTCTGCACGGAGAAGGCCTGCTGCTTGCCCACGGCACGGGAGGCCTGGAAGAGCTGGCTCACTATCTCGCTGGAGACTCTGGCTTCCAGTCCAAGCTGGTGTCCATTCGCGCAGGCTTTGGCTAAAGACAGCTGAGGAGGGAAAGTGCGCAGTGAGTGTGTGGCAGCAGGCTTCTGAGGCGGAAGTCCTGGTACACACGTTCCCTCTACTGACACCTTCAAAGCCTCCTGGAGCCAGCATGGCCAAGATTTTAATTATTCTCTTTGAAATAAGCACTGTACCATGTGACACATTTTTAAAGGGACAAAAGGTTTATAATGGAATGTCAGCTGCCTTCCCACCCTTGCACAGCTCCTCAGCCAATTCCCATCTTTTGTCAATGTTTTCCTTAAAAAATTAATTTTGTTTCTGCTCAACCCTGCTATTGTGAAAGCTAGATGCTTCACGGGGAGGCCAAATAACAAAAGGGGCACAAGCTTGCTGGGGGTGCAAATGACCTGGCTTTGGCACCTGGGTCTGTGTGCCCACAGGCTCTCTGGGGAATTCCCTGAGCCCGTCCACCTTTCTGTGAGAGGGTGTAGGGGCGCCTGCTTTGGCAGATGGGTGTGAGTGCTTGGCCCCATCAGCACCCATAAAGCTCTCGGAAGCTTACTCTCAACCACTTCTAGGTATTTCCTTCCAGGTTTTTTCTACGTTTGTAACAGTGCATAAATACATAAAAAACAGTGCATTTGTGATTACGGCACACATGCACACATCTTCTTTGCCCACTTAACAATAACATGGCTCGTTCTGACATGAACATCTGTGAGCAAGCCTCACCTGTTCTCGTGAGGGGGGTTCTGATCTGCTGTGTTATCTGGGGAACGTTCTGTTCACGTGGTTCATCCACAGGAGCAGCTGCCCTGTCTTTTGCTAACCGGGCCCAAGTGCCTTCTGAAAGGCCTATACCACCTTTCACACCCACTAATAGGAATGCTATTGTATCACATCTTTGCTGCAAAAACTATCATCATTAAAAATGTGTATTTTCAAAAATAATTAGCTCTCCACCCACACACACACACACACACACAGTATATTCAACTTGCTGATGTGATCAGCCACAATATTGTTTAAATGTACACCCTCTGGACCAGCAGAGGGGTCAAATGCTGCTCTGTGTTCTGACCAGTCACATCTATTTCCTCTTTTCTGAGTGTACTGAAACCCTCTGAACTTTTATCCAAGCCTTACATTCTTATTGATTAGTTTGAGCTTCAAACATTGTTCATTACTGTATTTCTTGTAAATGTGCTGTCTTGGACTTAAGCACCAGGTTCTGTGACATGCCAGGCCGGGCATTCTTGTTCTGTGATCTTTTGCCTAGCTTACAAGGGTGGATGACTCAACCACCTGCTTGGCGGGGTGACAAGAGCCAGGTTCTACCCACTTAGCAAAGGGCAGCTTTCTTTGATTTGCCCACAAGCCAGGACATTTTTACAGTTGCAAGAAGAACACCAAGTCCCTGATGCCCTGGCTCTGATTCGGGTGGGTCATGAGAATAGGCCAGCACCCCACGTGCCCACCTGCTCTAAGGAGACCTGAGTTCTGCTGCCGAGATGCTTTATTTACCTCCAGGACAACTTTAGGGAGCAGTATGGGCTTTTATAGCAGATGTAGTCCACGGGCTGGGTGGCAGCTCAGGGGCAATGGCCATGAGGCGATGTGATGGGTGGAGACGAGCAGATGTGGGAAGCGCTTCCAGGCCCTCCTCCTGCACACCCAAGAGCTAAACTCCTTTAAGGCCCAGCCCAACCCTGGGCCAGTCCTGCTGCCTCCTGAGTGGGGGCCTTGCCCCCATGTCCCAACAAGAGGCAGCATAAGGAGCCCAGGCAGCTCCCGCCTCACCTGCGCTTCCCAGCAGCCTTTGGCTGCGTAGTCCCTGAGTCTCCGGAAGCTGTGGAGGCATCGCCCAGGATCTGACATCTGTGAGTGGGAGAAAGTCAACATGCTTTACATGGTTGTGTCTCTTGAGAATCTCAGAACCGACCCATGAGGTTCTTAAATGTTCTTCCCAGCTCTCCCAGAGGGTCTCTGGCTGCACTTTCTTTGAAGCCCTTTATGCCCCAAATGCTGGGGTTCATTCTGGGGCAGTGCTGAGGGCAGCCTGGGGGTCCTGGAGCTGTGCAAGGTCCTCCCTCCCCATGCTGACAGAAGCTCCAGGGCCCATTTGGAGATCATGCCCTGGCCACATAATTCCTTCTCTCGCCAGACCGAGTCCACTCACATCTGTCTTTCTGTCACTTTCCCAGAGGAGGTACGAGCTCGACAAACATCCCTGATTAGCAGACTCTTCAAACAGGTCACGGGCCTGCTTCCTCTTCTCCACATCCTGGAATAAGTGAAGCAGAGTCTTCTTTCTCTCCTCTCTTTCTGCCACACCCTTCTCACCTTCAGCAACTCTCCGAGCCTCCAGGTCATCACACAGGCTGCTCTCATCTTTAATGAGTTAACTAAGTCACACTAGAAGTGACTTCTATGAAGACACAATTTGACAACCGAGTCAGCCTGAACCCCTGAGCTCTGCCTTCACAGGCCCTGCTCTCCACTGGACAAGCTTTGTGTCCCCTGGTGTGTCCTCTACACTGAGCACCCCGGCCAGTCAAGCTGGAGGCTCTCAGGGCTCCACCACCTCCTTGCTCACACTCAGCTCCCTCCCTGCTGTCAGTGCATCTGCCACCAGAAGCCACCACTTCCCTGAGTCTGCTGCAGAGGGACTCTTCACAAAGCTCAGTAAAGATCCTCAAGCACAGTGAGGTCTGCTAACAGCGGAGTTGCAAAACAAACAAGCTCCTAGTCTGCAGCATTTGGTGCTCTGCCCAGCTCTGCACTGCCTCTCGTGGGCAGGCCTTGCTGTAGCTCCAGACCCCAAATGCCTCGTCTGCCACTCTGCACTTACTTCCTGGTCCTTGGTGTTCGCGCTGCTGGGAAGGAGAGCAGCACAGGAACTTGGGAGCCGCCGTGCTCTGTGCTGTGCTTACACAGGCCACGGACAGGTCAAACAAGGCAGAGTCCAAGAGAGATGGACATCTCGACTCACCTCGAAGAGACTCAGCACTCTCCCCAAGCAGTGCAGTATGGATGCTCTGTGAGTCTGGAAAAGGAGAAAGAGGTGTGACCAGCAGCAGAGAGAGCCTCCCGTGGGCTGCCCTCCTGTCTGTGCAACCTTCAAGCAGAGCATCATTCCCGTGGCGGGCTCCCGCGCTTCTGCGCATTCTGCTTCTGGGGCCTCAGTCCTGTGCTTCCAGGTGTCAACATCTGTGGTCCACCCCAATATGATTCCCATGCAGGGTCATCTCCAGACACTCCCATGTCCACAGTCTGGATTTCCTGCACCTCCCCTGCCTACTGCCCACAGTTCCTTAACTTTACATGGTCTGCAATAACTTTACATGGTCTGCAATGTCTCCCCTCAAGGTTTTCTTGCCTCCCAAGACTATGGGGCTTGGACCACCCAGCACAGACTGTCCCATGCACCCAGGACTCACTTTCTGCAGTTGGCACTCTGCCCTGAGGCTCTCATGAACCACGGCCTTGCAGCAGCTCCCGGACACTGACCACGGTGGGCGGATGAAGAGCCAGATGAAGGGCACGGCACCCACATTCAGCCGCTCAGCAAGGCTAAAGAAGCGAGAGGCCTTCAGGCCATTCACTTCTGCCCGGGCCTCATCAGACACAGACACTGTGGAGAACAACAGCATGTGAGCTGGGGTGTCTCTGGAAAGTTCTCATGTTTTTTGAAAGCCCAAAACCTTAAGCCTACAGCAGAGACATGTTGCTGGTGCCCCAAGAGGAGGTCCCTTTTCCTACCCTACTTAGTGAATCACAGGCCCCTGCATGGGTCCACCTGGCAGCCTGGATTCTGCAGGTTGGGAAGGGGCTCCCATGAAGGTATCACTACCCACTCTCTGTCCTGTTGGGAACTGCTGCCTGACCACCTGCTAATAATGGGTGTCATGTTTCTCTTTGGGGTAAAGAGAGATTCCAAAATTAGACAGTGGTGATGGCTGCACAACTCCGTGAATATAAAAACAACCATTAGTGTAACGTATACTTTAGAAGGGGGGGTTGTGTGGTGTGTGAACATGTCTGGGAATAGCTGTCTGATGGGAAGTAGGCCAGGACCGCTGCTCTCCTGAGTCTGGAGGCTGGAGTGCTGGGCAAATCCATCACTCACGATAGTCCCGTCAACTGGCCACGTGCAGGCGCTATCTCTTAGCAAGACACCAGATCTTTTGGAATCAGATAAATGACAGATACCCAAGTATGCATTTGGGAGCTGGGACAGGATGGACGACAGGCTGGCTCCAGGTGCTAAGCAGACAGGTGGGAATGAGAGAGCAGGCCATGTAGTCTTTTCAAGGAACACCTACCCCTCGAGGATGAAGGAATTCAGGTACCAAGCCAGCTCTGACCTGCTTACACCTGCCTCCCACTGGAGCCTTGGCTACCTCCTCACTGTCTTCCTGTGGAATCAGGCATGCCTTCAGTGCTGCCCAAGTCCCACAGAGGAACCTTGGCCCCAGAGAGGAGCCAGGATGTATGTGTGCTGCAGTGTCATGTGGGTGGAGGACAGGCAGCCAGGGGAAGCGCTGGCGTTCCTAAGGCATGTCTACTCAGTCATCACTTGCCAATCAAAATTAAAGGATTTGTTCCAACAAGAGCTGACTCTCCCAATCTACAGAATCAAAGTTTGTCAATGGGAACCTCAGAGGGCACCTCTGGGCACAAGTTCCCAAGGAGAGAGGAAAGCAGACTGCCAGCCGCAACAGGCACAGTGACTAACTGCTAACTGGGGAGGGCTCATGCTTATTCTAACACACCAATGCCAAGTACGGAGAGCCCGCCCCGCCCGGTGGACTTACGGCCTTCATTGTAAAGGTAAGCTATGCCGAGCTTCACAGCAGCTTCAAAATTTCCCTTTTCAGCAGCCCTACAACATAAAACATCACATTTTATTTCATAAAGGTTGTGCTCCATCACAGCCCTGGGAGCTAGAGTAAGTATTTTAACAAGAAACATTTCAAGTAATGCAGTCAAATATCAAGTATCCATGATGGGCTATGATATAGACGAACCTAGAACACAGGCTGAGCAAAAGAAGCCAGTCACAGAAGGCCACACATTGTATGATTCCACTTTTATGAAATGTCCAGAACCAGCAAATTATGGAGACAAAAAGCAGATCAGTGGTTGCCTATGGGCTGGGGGATAGCAGGGTTTGAAATAGGGAGTGACTGCTAATGGGTATGGGATTTCATTCTGGGGTAATGACGATGTTCTACAATTAGACAGTGTCTTTGGTTGCACAACTCAGTCTCACGCTTTATATGGGTGAGTTGCATGGTGTGTGGATCACATCTCAGGAGGCCTGCCTGGGCCAACTGGCCCACTTGGAGGTGGGTCTAGTTGCTGGCACACAGGAAGCTCACAGGCTACAGGGCTCATACACCCTATGGCCCTCTCTCTGAGTCCCAACTCCAGCGGGGGGGATGGGATCACCCACTCAGTACAATGCAGTAAAATTTGAATCACATGGTTTTGATTAAAAGAAAAGAGGGCTGAGTAAAGTTTCCACATGCAGGTGACATGCATTTGAATCACTCTGGATACATCCTGGCACAAGTGGAAACACCACTGCAATTAATGCATCAGGCTGTGCTGGTCATGTGGATGACCAATGACTGTCCCGTGTGTGACTCAGTGGGGATACGGCAAAAGGAAAATCATTCTGGGTCAGGCCTTGGGACACAGGGTAGCATACCAGGAGGCCCAAAGATGGGGGGAAAAACAAGCTGCTCTCAGGTGCAGAGATACCTTTCAAAGAGCTTTAGGTTCTTTGGGGAAGGCCACAGTTCCTGGAAGCTGGCACATGCCCACACGCTGGCGTGGTTGTCCACCAGGTACTTCAGGTGGGAGTGCACCTGTAGAACAGAAGCAGGTGGAGTTGGGGGGATTATCAAGGCATCTCCTAGAAGCCCAGCTCCTGGAGCTCCTGAAGACAGGTTATAGACTTGAGGAGGAGCGCCTCCTGTCCCCCTCCCACCAGAACAGTAAAGGCCCCCAGTCTCTGCAGCAAGTAACAGTCTCTTTGAATAGAGCAAAGAGCCTGGAAACAAGTTTCTCTGTGGCTCTAAAGCCGGGGACAGTAGTCCTAGAAGGGGGAATGAGTGCCTAGCTTGAGAAAGGGGACAATGCCTCAGTAAGGGCTGCATCTGCAAGGATCAAGGAAAGTGACTACACGCAGCAGGTAGGACAGAAACCTGTTTTGAGCTCCTCTACTTGGGCCTTGCTAGTGGGAACTCAGCTGGAGCCTGGAGGTTAACGGGGCCTCTTGGAAAAGACTGACTCGTGATGGCCTCTGGGAGGACCTGGAGCCTGTGCCCTGGGCAGATGCAGGAAGTGCTCAGGCAGGCGGCCAGCAGCACAGGTGAGCACTTTAAGCTCTAAAGTTTCCACTGTCTGCTGCCATTGGAAACAGTGCCCGTGGGTATTATGACCGCAATGGAGGAGGCTCTGGGTATCAGAGTAGTTCTTGTTTCCCACTACTCTGCTGTTAGTAACTTAGAGTGAGGCTGCAGGCCCAATATCTGCAAAATAACCCCCAGAGTCCCTTTCAGCGCTGAATGTTACAGGGCGTTTGACCTCAAGAATATACTTTTATTAACACTATCTAATTTCTCAAGGGACATGAATTTCACTGCCATAAAATGGTACTTTCTCTGTTAAAAAAAAAAAAAAGCCAATGCAAGGAGCAGAACCAACCTTAGTGTGCTGCGCTTCAGCGTCACCTCAAGCACCTACTGAGCTATCATCCTTGTCTCCCCTGCCCTCTTTTGCAGCCGGTTTTGTTGCGACAGTTAAGGACTGGAAGCCTTGATGAGATAGCCAAGAACGTCAAGGCTGACACTATTTTCACCAGGCAACTTACAGCTCGTACAGCGAGGATGTCGCCAACAGAAAGCCATTTCAGGATGTGAAAGAGCACATCTTCAGGGAGACTCAAGATGGTCAAGTTTCGGGGTCTTCTTCTGATTCTTCGCTTTGCAGGATAACAGAAACACTTGGCGCACCTACAGTGGAGCACTTGAGAAAAAACATCAGAGTGGTCTGTGTGGTGTGCTGGAAAGGAGTTGTGCTGACATGAAAAGTTACATCTGGAAGTAACTGAACACGTACTGCCCCCTGCCTCACAAAAGGAACCAGCCCTATGTCTAGTCCCAAACAGAAACTAAAAATAAAGGAGCAGGATCACAGGAGTTACAGAAGGCACCGTCATTCATTCAAAGATTCAGCAAGTACTTATGGTGAAAGGCAGGCGATCATGTAACTTGGCTATTGGGGAACTTTCTGATCCGGAGCCCAGATGCCAACGCTCCTGACGGTGGTCCCCGCATTTCACTCTCGGGAAGCCCCTCGGACCCTTGCCCATCTCTTTGCTTCTACTTGCACACATCACTGAAATGCAGTGTCCACCAAGGCTCTGTGGGCTCGAGCCCAAACTGGGAGGGTCGGGGGGACTTGCTGGCCAGGCCACTCTGTGGGTGTCACAGCCGCCCGACCCGCGTCCCCCGACAGAGTTGGGGTCCTTCCAACGTCAATTCCTGTCGCCTTGTGTCACTCCGGGACGCTCCCAAGCAGGAGTCGCTCGGCCAGCGCACCGGATCTCTCCGCGGCGACCCCCGCCCGGCCTCCCCTCAGCAAATGGCGCGCTGCCGGGGCCAGGTGCCCTTCCCGCGCGGACCACCCGGACCTCCATAGAGCCCCAGTCGCGCACGGACCCAGTCCCTCGGCCCGCCGCCGGCTTGCGGCCCTCGCAGCTGTCCGCGCGCAGCGCCGCCGGGCATTTAAACCGCGCGCCCGGCGAGCGGGCGGATGTCGCCGGGCCGCCCGCGCCTCGGGCCTCAGGATCCGCGCCCTTAGGCTGAGCGCCCGCTCGCGCTGCGAACCCCCCGGGGCCCCTGCCCCCGCCGGTGCTCACCGCCGCCGGCCCCCATCACCACCGCCGCCGCCGTCGCCGCCGCCTCCTCCTCCTTCTCCTCAGCCTTAGCCGCCCAGTCTCCAGCTCCGTGCGGGCCCGCGCAGGCGCACATCCCGCCCTGCCGCCCGCCGGAGTTTTCAAACGCGCCCGGCGCTCCCATTGGCCCGCCCATGGGGCGAGCGCGCTGCCGCGCTGCCAGGCCCCGCCCACACAACAGCTCCTCGCGCCCGCGATTGGCAGCGCCGGGACGCAAATTCGAACGCCGATCCCTGATTGGTGAATTCCGCGCGGCCGCTCCACCTCCCTGGCTGGGGCGGTGTCCTGGAGGTGCGCAGGGTTGGCCGGCGCGCGAGGACGTTCTTTGGGCGCGTTTGGGCCGGGCGGTTCCGGGCTCCGGCCGGCCGGCCTCGCGAGTGTCGAGGCGGGCCGGCCGCGCCTCGGGTCAGGGTCTCGCGGACAGCACGGCCCCGAGGCTGCCCCGACTTCTGGTCCCTCTTCTTGCCCGTGTTTCGGGCGTGAAGACCCCAGGTTCGGTGGCCCAGCCGCAGATCGAAACGCAAAAGTGTGAGACCTTAGCTTCAAATCTTCACTGACTTAGCGGGCACCTGACCACCTTCTGTGGGACGTGGCTCACCCGGGCTCTCCATCCTATCTCTGGGCAAGGCCTGACCCTCTCTGCCCTGTTGTCCACAGTGTCCTCTCCTCCCTGCCACGTGGCAGCCCTTCCTAAAATAGAGGTGCACACCGGCTTGCTTGACTGGTTGCTGTGGGCCACAGCTGAGCATCCTGTTCATTCATTAAGTGCCCACCCCTCCTGTCTTTGGGGAGCAGCTCACATCCCACTTCTTTCATGAAGACATTCTGCCAAGGAAAGAAATGCATTGTCCTGGGAGGTGGTTTGATGGAGGACTGAGTGGCCTTTTCTGAAGAAGCCAAGGAATCCGGGTCAAGGCTCTCCCCACTCCCCCTGTGGCCTCAGCCGTCATCACCCCTCTGTCCCCATCCCTAATGCTCACTGAACCCTTTCAGGTGCTTGGTCTGCACTGGGCAGCTAGGCACATGCATAGCAGCCAGGGTGCCAAGGCTTCATGGCAGTCAGAAGCAGGATAGTAAATGGATGAACACACAGAGCGGACCTGAGTCTCATGATCCCAAGGAGACAAGGGGCTGGGGCTTTGGAAGTTGGCGGAGGTGGCGGCAGGGGCGATGTGCACAGGAGTGCAGAGAGCCCACCAGGCTCTGGGCCTGCTCCCCAGATGTCCCATGTCCTACACAAAGGGCTGGGAGGAAGCTAAGTTACAGGACTCCTGGCTCTCATCCTTTCTCACACCTGTGCTTCCTTCCATTACTACTGTTTCCCACTTTGTTACCCTGCTGTCCTCCCTAGTAGTTACTTTGTTGCCATTACCCCCAGGGAAGAGGCCTCCCTCTCCCAGGTTAGACTTTGGTAACATTGTAAAGGGACTAATAAACTGGCCTCACCAGCAAGGGAGTCAGGCTCTGTCCCGTGCGGTTCCATAGAGGGCAGAACAGCATCCCTGGTCATTTGCCGTCCCTGGGCTGCCTGTCCTCTGTGTTGTTCATATGTTCTTACCACTTTCATTTATTTAGAGATGATGTTTTCTTACTTGTCAGGAGAAGGTGTTCTCTTGGCTAGGCTGTGATCATGCCTTCTCTGGCCCCTACCCACCACCCTGGCAGTAACACCCTTAGGCCCCCAGCGGGGTGAGGAGCCACTCCCAGAGGGTGTAAGAAGGGTCCTGTTCCCGCTGGGCTTGGGGTGGGGGCATGTGTGAGAAAAACTCATTGGAAAAGTTTAGATTGTTTGGATCTCAGGAAAGTTCCTGGCTGGAATAAAATGGCAATTGAAGGTCTGGGAGTGAATGAGAAGGAAATTCAAGGGAGGCAGAGGGCAAAGGGGAGGGTAAGGAAAAGTGAAGGAGGCTGGGAGCTTGAGGAATCCCAGCATTCAGCGAGAAAGGAAGAGGAACCTTCAGAGGACGCAGGGAAGGGCCACGGAGGGACCACAAGAACCAGACCGCACATGAGGCAGGTTTCATCAGAAGGGGGCAGCAGAGGTTGTGAAATGCCACAGAGCACTACCTGGGGAAAAGACCGGAAGCCAGGGGGTGTGGCAGCCAGGGACGTGACCAGGCTGCAAGGTTGGGGTGAGGCGGGGCAGGAGGAAGCAGTGTGGCAAAGACACAGCACCTCCCCAGAGCTTGGCTGAGCAGGGATGGAGAGAGCTAGCAGCACAGGCAGGCCAGAGGGCTGCCTAGAGGGGCTGGTGCCAACACTGGAGAGACGCCACGCATGGAGCATGGCTTGGAGAGTCCTCACAGCCCTGTGTCACCGCACTCCCCGGCTCACGGCGCAGCAGTCCCCAGCACAGGGCCTTTGCTCGGTTCTCACACCCAAGGTGCTTCAGAAGCAGCTGTTAACATGGGGTCATTGCAACCCAGATTGCTGGGCCTCACCCCAAATATCTCTGATTCAACAGTTCTGGGACAGGGCCCCAGAATCTGCATATCTAACAAGGTTCCAGATGATGTGGATTCGGCTGGTTAGGAGCCCCACTTTGAGAACCTCTATCTGAGTCGAATCTTGGCTGTAGTACCTTTGACTGTGGAAAGCTGCTGAGTATTTCTCAGTCTCAGTTTACTTATCTGGGAAATGGAAGCAATCATATCCACTTCATGGGTTGATATAGGATCACATGCAGGGTCACCTCTAACATATGCAGGGGCCAGAGCAGAGGAAAAATGGAGCCCCACAAATACAAATACCAAAATATTGAAAAATTGGCACTTAGGCTAGCAAACTCATGGATCTGTCCTCTCCTCCTACCCTCAGAAGTGTGGTTTCATGGCACCATGGTCATCCCCAGGAGGACTGGGGGAAAGCCCCTTGAAAGGACCTGGCGGATGCTCCTCTGAGGCTGCTTCCACAGCCAGGTCTCAGTGAGGCCACAGGCCTCCACCAGGCCTCTAGGATGAGTGGCTTCAATCTGGCTGGGAGCCCCCTGCCCCTCTGCCCACGAGCTGAGCTCCCTGGGCCGTGGGCTGCCTTGCAACCCTTGCAGCTGGTGGCAGGCTGTGCACACCCGGGCTAACCCAGTACTTGGGACTCTTTGTTATGGCAAGGCAGTCTGAGGGCGGTGGGGAGGGAGGCTGGGAGCAAGGCCTCCAGGAGTGAGGCTGGGAAGGGGGTAGAGAGGGAGGCTGGGAGGAGGGCTGGGGGACAGCCTGGGAGGGAGGCAGCGGGGGAAGCCAGGAGGAGGGAGGCTGAGAGGGTGGAGGTGAAGGAGATGAGGGGCCTGGTGGCTTTGCCTGTCCTTGTTTGTTGTCCCCTTGTGTGGGGGTCACAGGGCAGGTGAAGCTCAGGAAGATGTCCTCCAGGGAGACCCGGCTGACAGAGTACTCATCCAACACATACTTTTTCTTGGCTTGCTCCAGGGTGCCAAAGAACTGTGGGAAGGGGAGGCCTCTGTCGATAATTGGCCCAGGGAGGGGAGAGGAGGGAGCAGAGGGTGAAGGGCAGGGTCCCCAGAGCACCTCCCAAGCAGCCTGCACAATAGAAGCCAGCAGTCTGTGAGCTCAGGGAAAAGGCCCTGGCTGGGAATGGTGCCAGAAGGCAGGGCCCTGCTGGATCCCTGGCTTGCTGTGTGACCCTTGGGCATGTGGTGGCCTCTCTCTGGGTCTGATCCCCACCTTTTCAAATGAGGGGGCAGAGGAGCTGATCCGAGGTTCCTTCCTGCTCAAACACTATGTGTTCCATGAAATCCATGGGTATGTTGCCATGGTAAAGTCAGAGAGGTGCTACACCAGCCCTGAACGTGACTCTCTCCTGAAAGAGAAGGTGCTGCCCCAGCATGGGGTGGGCTTCAGAGGTGACTTACCCTGATGCCCAGGTACCTGCTCACCTTCGCCCAGCTGAGGTCATCGCCAGGCAGGTGGTAATGGACCATCCCCTGGTGCTCATCTTCCAGAACGCTGCCTGCACAAAGGAGAGACCGGATCCCCTTGAGGATCAGCTGCAGGGCCAGGGCTGGGCACCTGGGCCCCACAGAATCACAGCCCTCGTTCCAGGGGTCAGACATGTGGGACCTGGCGGGGGCCAGGCACAGTCGCCCCTGCGCACACCTGGGAAGGTCAAGTCCACGAAGGCCTTGAAGTCCTCCAGCGCCTCCTGCTGCCCGTCGCTCC